TTTGAGGGATGATTAATTTAACATATTACAATGCTGTTTAAATTGTGGGAGGAGTGTCCTTCACACAAAACAACTGCTATATCAACTGCGTGCAGGTCATTTTCTGCAACCAAGCTGGATAATGAATATGGGAATTTGGTTGAAACATCTGTGAATGTTAAATAGTAATAATTTCAAGTGGCCCAAACTAAGAAGCTGAGCCTTGCTAGGAAATAACCAAATTGATTATCCTCTAGCATGGCTGCAAAGCAGACATGATTCTTCAAGTCTCTGTTTCTAGTTGTATTAGTAGACGCCACCAATAATAAGACAGGGGAAGCAACCTGATGTCCTCCAGATGTTTTGTACTGCACCTGCCACAATCCCTTCCCCTTATCAGTGCTTTAAGGAGCTAATGTGAACCCTCAAATATCTAGGTAGTGTCAGATTGCCTACCCCTATAGTATTTTGTCCGTAAGATAGCAAACTTTTCCACATGATGGATTTTTCACACAAAAAATCTGTTATGAAACTCAGATGAATTTCTTTAAAAAAATTGATACATCAGTATTCTAAATAAGTAGTATCTCTCCTGAATCATGATGGAGGTTATATAGTCAAACTTATGAATTCTGAATTTTTCAAAATCCTCTTAAAAACTGATCCATATTTTCATTCATGTAGTCAGACAAATTTTAAACAGACATTGATAGTTCTGTTATTTAGATTTCTAAGACAGTGACTTGATACCTGCTTATCTAGGCAAAAGATCCATTTTGATGTAATTGTTTATTCATTCAATACATTTATATCCCATTCTTAAGAAATGGGTTGTTACACAGTGGCATAGAAAGAGTAGTATAAGACGCAAGCACATATAAAAATGAGTCTTATCAGAATTGAGGAAATGGAAAACTGTAGATCTGCTTGGGGGCCTTTCAAAATCTCCAGTATTGGACCTACTCCCAGTACCTTTCAGCTAACACACTGATTGCAGAGAAACATTTTTCCATTTTTATTCAATCCAACTTAGTGTCTGCCCTTCTAACAAGTAATTGTTGCTTGCAAATGCCAGCAGTGTTGGCTGTCACATATCCACTACCCACAGTTTAAATTGAGAACTTAAGAATTCCGTATGGAAGACTGCAAACATATATGCTCCGATCTGTGAATGATCCTCAGTGATTTCACTGGGACTCAATTCTGAAAAGACAAGAGAATTCAGCTAGTGTTCATTGACTAAATCCATAAAACAGGAGCATTCATGACATTCTTAAAATGTGATAGGTTAAAAAAAATATATTATTTTGTGTTCTTTTTTTTCATACTTAGTTCATATGGTATTTCTGTTAAATGTATTTCTGTTAAATGTTGACTGTATACATTTTATTTTTAAAGAAACTTTGGTGGGAATTGTCTTTAGAGTATCTGTACTTTTCTGGCTCAGCTGCACAACAGTCTTGTTTTTAAAAAGGATGCCTTCTAAAACAGATTATCTTTTGGAATCAAATATTCCCTTATCAGGCTGACCGGAAACTTGTTTCTCCAACGGATCAAAGTGGTTGGACTGGTTAAATGCAACAGGCTGAATTAGATAAACTTGAACAGAGACCCTAATATTGTAAAATGTGCATGTGTTTATTATTTTAAAGCAATGTGGAAATCCAGATTTACCAGAGATCATGGGTTTGTTCAGGAAGGATGGAGGAGCAGTGTTAATTATCTGAAGTTAATTACAATACTCACAATAATAAAATGTTACTTTCTTTTTTATATCAGAAACATATGGCTTTTTTTTTAAATTTCCTTTTCCATAAATTGAGCAAGAGTGCTTCTGGACTGATGAGATGGTTTTCCTTGACCCACCCATTCTGTCCTTGAAACTGAAAAAATGAAATAGGGGATTTGGGGTTGATTTGTTTGCAGGAACTCCCTGGACTTTGTGAGATTAAGCTCTGATTTCTGTATTCAGAACAGCGTAAGATCTCCCGCTTTAGTGGTATTCTCTCCGTAGTAGAACTTTAAATGTTTGCTGCAGGAGTTGTCTGATATCTTCACTGGTGTTATTAAGACCTAGTTCTTACTTTACAGCTGATATTTGATTGAAATAAGAATGTGAAAAAGACACAGGGGAGGATTGGATTCTTGCCTTGAGATTTAAGCGCAGGGATGCATGAAGGCCTCAGGTAGCCAGAGCATCTCCCAAAATAGCCACTGATAATGATAGTGTGAGAAACGGTGGAAGGTGATTGAATTCATGCAGTAGTCTGGCTGTATTTAATTAATCCACTTTTCTTTTAATTGGATTTGAACTAAATCACCAACTTGATGTGGAGGCCCTGCCTTTTTTGGGGGGTGGAGCTCCTAGCATGCCATTCAAGGGTTCAAGTCTGTATACACCTGTTTAGCAGCTCAAATGGAAGGCTTTAGGTTACTGTGTGAACTTCAGAGAAAGAATAATAGTAAAGGTGGTCCTTGCTTAATGACATTAATTGGGACCAGAATTTCTGTCACTAAGCGATGCATTTGTAAAGCAAGATGTCACGTGACCTCATTGCTTAGTGAGGGCAGTTAAGCGAGGATCACTGGTTGTTAAGCAAGAACCTCACATGACTGACTTGCAGCTTCCTGCTGGCTTCCCACAAACAAAGTCAATGGGAAGCCAACAGGAAGTTGCAAGTCCCAGGCAGCTCGCAAGCTGGCAGGGGGGAGGTGAGTACTATGAGTGAAGTGTGGTGGGGGGGTACTGTGGCAAGTGCATGTGGACTGGAGAGAGGATGCTGCTGTGAGGTGCAAGTGCAGCTGGGGTGGGGAAGGGGGTGCTGTGGCCCAAGTGTGCACTACGCAGTATGAGATCTTTAGCTGAGCTCCCTGGGATCTCATACTCCATAGTGGAGCTCCTTCGAAGAAAAAGTGGCGGGAACAACTTGCAACCTTCTCTGCTGGCTTTCCCATTAACTTTGCTTGTGGGAAGCTGGAAGGGAAGGTTGCAAAAGGCGATCACACAACTGCAGGATGCTGCAACCATCATAAGTTTTACCTGGTTGCTAAGTGCCCAGATCATGACCAAGTAACTACAGGGGTGCTGGGACAGCCAGAACTTCAAGGACTGATCATAAGTACCACTCATTCAGCGCCATCATAACTTCGAACAGTCACTGAATGAGTGGTTGTTAATTGAGGACTACCTGTAGTAATAATAGTAGCAATAATAATAATAAATATAAAATAATAGTATTTTCTAGGAGGTGAGTCAAATGAAAGTTGTAATATAACACTTGGAATAATGACATCTTGATTATGTTTCAAGTCCTTGGCCTACTTAGGACTTTGTGCTAAACTATTTTGCAGTGACAAGAAGGAATTCGTAAGCTTTTGCTTTTATTTATTATTAACCATAACTGTTCATTCTGTTTGAACCTAATCTGTGATTCATCTAACTGTAGTTTAGAGAAATAGGCCAACCTAAACTATTCAATTCAGGTTGCTTTTGTCAATAAATCAAAAGTAAGATTAACCATGGTTGTTTAATAGTTGCTCTAGGAAATAGTATCATTCACACATGTATGTACGGAATGTATATTTATCCTACCTGTTAAAGTAAGATCTCCAGGAAGTATACTTTTAATTAAGCAGCTTCATTGTTTTTTTAAAAATTCAGTGGCCTGTCTGTATAGATGTAACATACAGATATAGCACAGAGTTAGAGATGTACAGCTGCATACATGCTGTAAGGTGATATGAGAAAATGTCCAACCTTGGAGGGGGAAATGGTTTTGCTTTCTTTTGAGAAATTAGCAGAGGTATCCTGGGGCTATAATGAAAATAATTATATTAGACAATATAATATACAATATAAAGAACAATATAGATGCCTGATGAGTAGAAAATGAGTTTTCCTCTTTGAGGTTTCAGCTTTGTTGACATAGAACAGAAAATGAAAGCCGTCCAGTAGGCTGTGCCACACGCATGAGGGCTGATTGAAAGTATTTCCTTACTGTGTGATGTGGCCAGGAAAAAAAATAGTGTCTCTGTCTTGCCAACAAGTTGTTATATATAAATATAAATTGTACTGATGATAAGTTATGATTCTGGTACTTTGAGATTTCAGTTACCAAAGGAACTTACTCTTTGGTTGTTAGAAAAGTAAAATATTTTTTTTCTTGATGATTCAGTGTATAATCCAGCAAATATACTGTATATTGGTTCATGTGAATCACACAACCAAATATGGAATTGTGTGTGAACCATCCAACTACTACTTCTTCCAGAACAGAGGATCCCTTCAAGAAAATTGGAGGGTTCCTAAACAATGAATAGTGCAGACCAGTGTATTTGTGGCCATGTAAAATCAATTCTGTAGTGTTCTCCATGTGGTGGAATGCTGAGATACACAACAGCTCAATGTAAATAAAATCCCTCTGAGATTGAATTTCTATAGACCTAGCGTAATGTTGGCTAAATAGTAACAATTCCCCATGTACCCAAGTCAACCTGAAGGACAGAATACATAACAACTTGCAGTTCAGTGTCATTCTTTTTTCAGTCCCACTTAGTACCGTACAAAAATTGGGTTAGACACAGGTTGCTTATTCCAAAGTATTTTGCTATCATTGTGGATATAAAGTGCAGCATTCCTGAACTGTTCAGTCCCTGGAAGGCACTAGTAGTTTTCCACCATGGGAACAAGAACCTTGTATTACCACATTACAGTTACCCCAATTTAACGACCTCTGGTTGAACAAGGTCTCCTTTATGGTTTTGACTCACAAGGAGCTGATTTAGCAAAGGTGCTTCTGTTTCTGCCTCTCTGTCCCACCCACTCCACAAAATCTGGTATCCAGCTGATGTAGCATGGAGTTAATTAAACATAAGTGTTATTTTTGAGGTTCTTCTTTCACTCATTTCCATGTAAATGAAGCTTAGCAAGAACTTCTGCAATAATCTTTTAGTTGGAAGAGCAGGTAGCACAGAATGACATATTTACTGTTAATCTTTGTTTTGTTTTGTTTCTTCTATAGGCGTTTAAATACTTTAAACAAGTGTGCAATGATGAAACTAGAAATCAGCCCACATAGGAAACGGGTAAGTGTATTTGACAAAGCTATTGCAATACTGTAAATAATTGATGGGAATGACCCTGATAAATGTTCTTATAATCCACATCTTTATGTGTTGACATAGAAGTAAGCCCCATTGATCTCTTTTCCAGTCTTATGCTGAAATCCTAAAACCTCCTACAAGGAGAAGCCCCACTCAGGACAATGAGACTTTCTTCAAGTTTTTATTCATCTAATTATATTGTTAATTATTTTTATATAGCGTTAAGGTGGTTCACATGCCAAAACCAGCCTCCTAGTCAGGCTTGTAATTTTGAAATATCAGTATGGGTTTGAATAAGCTTGTGTTTTCGAGGTGACACAAAAGGGTATTCTTCTAGCTTTCATCTCAAAGGGACCATAAAAATCAGTTAAGGCACAATTTGGTCCCAAAATCTGTGTGAAGTTTTGTTCTTCATTTCAGTATTAGAAGGGCTGCAGCAGTTGGCAGTGGGTAGAATATTAGCAATATTTTCTTTTACAAGCATTTACGGTGATGCCTACTTTTGTTTTATTTCGCACAGGCATATTTTCACCAACAGTTAAACTACACCAGCAAAGTTTTCTTCTGCCCAAACAGAGATAATAGTTAAAACTGAATAGAATGAATGTGACTCATTGGTACTCATTAAGCGCCTGATAACAATCTGTTATGAAAGTCTCTTTCCTGCTACTAAGTTATTCAATTTTTTGACATGCTAACTGGACAGAGTATGAGGTAGTCTGACCTTCAGTATGAAACTTTTTTGCACTAGAATGGCAACTGGCCAATGCCAACTGGTATTTACAAATCTTGTTGTAAAATACTGCTTTCCTAGTCTGTTGTTGATGGAGAATTGCTGCATTCTAAATAGGCAGTACCCTCTGCCAAGAACTAGTTCTGTTAATGCTTGCATTTAATAGTAACTGGGGGCAGCTTCAGACATGACAGTCTTGGATGGGTATCTGACGTATAGTTGCATCCATTTTCAACCGCAGCTATTTCAGTTTTAAAGTAATTCTTGTTGTTTTTCTGTTATCCTGTAGCACTTTTCCCATAGTTACAATCTGGCACATTTCACAGGACGTTCTGTTGCTGGCACAGTCAGGTTGACTACTGGCCACTTTGGGATGATACAGGCATGCCCCCTCCCATCAGGGAATTATCTTTCAAGGCCATTCTGGTTTAGGCAACAGGAGAGTCCTCTTCGTTAATACCCCACTTTCCCTCTGATCAGGCTGCTTTGGAATACAGTTTAGTGCTCTTCTGGAAGGACATGAAACACTTGTCCAAAAGGAAGCCAACTATCTGCTGATACATGTATAACCAGGCTCCCTCTGAATGCACCTGCACAAAACACTTGTGCAAAGCATGTGAAAATCCCATGGCCAGACCATCTGTCAGAACTCATCTCCTTCCCTGGCCCCATTCCACATTTAGGAGAATGGTTTGTGGTTGTTTTGTAAGAAAGGAGGGAAATAAAGCCAGGGTAGTCCACCTGTCTCTGTCCTTAATGGGTCCTATGCACCATTAATGAGGGCAGTACCATCTGTCAGTCCCTTGGTGTCATGGTATAGGTATTGCCAACAGGGGCAACAAATTTTATGCAGATACAGTTTTCTGCTGGTTCAAGGTCTGGGGGATAACACTAACTGCCGTAAGGAAGAGCCCCAACTCGTCCATCCACATAGCTGCCTCCCCTCCCCCGTCCCTTAGGAAAAAGCTCTGTTATATGTAAATGATTGTCATACAAGCTTATCAGTTCTAGAGAGTGGTGCTTTGATTTTCTTGTTTAGAAGTCAATCACATCATTATGTTTTAAATGTATTTCTTTTTTCACTCTATGAATAAATAATGGGGGATGGGAGGGGGGTACCTGGAATGTAATGTTGATAGTTTTTCAACTGTGTCTGCTTCTCAAAATCCAAGAAGTCAAACAATTTTAAATGCCTTAAGTGAAGCTTGGGGGAAAAAATCTTTTATATTGTTATGGAAAAAAATAAGATGGGGAATGGCCTCAGGGCCTTAGCCTTCCACAGTCTCTCCTTGGTCCCATTAGTCACATTGGAAGACCTTTAAGATGAGTAAGGAATGAAGCTGCAACAATTCGAACCCCTCATAATTCTAGTGTGGCAAATAAACAGAGGAAAACTATCAACAGCGACTAACGTTGGAGAAACCTGCCTTTACTGGTTTGAGTGGAATGTTTCATGCGTGCCCTAATTTTTCTCTGATCTCGGTGGTATCCAGCATGGCTAATGGAACATCTACTGATCCTTGGGATGGTGGGTAAATAATAGGATGCGCTGTTTTAGCTCACCATTTTAGTACCCTCCAGATGTATTCTGAGCTACAGCAGTTAAAGGTTGGCTAGCCAGCAGAGCCAAGGAGGCCACCAGGTTGGGGAAGACTGACTAAGTTCCTTTCATGTTATAAAAAGATTCCATATGTTAAATACATATTTACTTACACACACATACACACACACTTTAAAAATGGCTTCTCTTTGCCCAAATTGCATCCCCATCAGAGAGAAAATAGAGCAAACCTTCTATGCAACTTGCAACTTTAGGTTAGTATAGATACCAGAGAGTTGAGAGGGTGTATTGGTCATGCTGACTTAAAGGACTGGGAATTGGTTTGTTAGAAGGGTTTGGAGAAAGCACAGCTTCCTCTTCATCACCCCTGTAGACCTGCTTGTGCAGAATGATGCCATCTGACGCTTACTCTCAAGTGAGCTTGAATATGGTTTGCTGGATAAATTAGATCCAAGTTACTGAAATGAAAATCCAAGATATATGGGCTCTGCAATCACATACATGGGACAATCTCGAAAATGTCCTTTGCAGTTCTGTAGACACTTCAGAAGTATTACTGTTTCTGGATAGATTAGACCTGGAAGTGCCCTTCCTGTATCCATCCAGAGTAGGATAGAAATTGGATGAAATAAACGTGTAAATTTTTATTTTATTTTATTTTATTTCTATTCAGCTTTACAGTAGTAACCTTTGGGTGGTACACAAAGAAATGATAATTATATAAAATACCATAAAAACTAAAATTTCATAGGTAACCATTAAAAACCTGTAATACTTTGCAAATAGATCAAACAAATC